CTGACTATCTCAGCCCGCTGAGCCTCCAAGCAGAGGGAAGACCTGTGGGAGGGCAAGGCCAGGTACCGGCGCTTGGAGGCTCAGCGGGCTGAGATAGTCAGCCAGTTCCAGGCTGTGATGCTGTCCCACTGGAACGAGGCCCTCCAGCTCTTCCCCACCAGCGGTGCTTCCCACCAGCCTTCGCCCAAAGCCCCCCACCAGGAGGCTGAAGTAGACCCCAAGTTCGAATTTCTGCCCCCTTCCGACCCCCACAAAAAGACCCCGAAGGGGGAGACTCCCTGCAGCAACACAAATGTTCATTGCACGTATCCGTCCCAGGGGCCGTAGTTTGAGGACTCCTGATTGAGTGCAGTTTAAAAAATGCAAATAATTTTTCTGCGGACCACCAAACTTTTCTCCCAGACCACCAGTTGGTGACAACTGGACTAGAGCTCCCCCCCTCCCCCGATCTTCCTTTCTTTCTCCTGATGGAAGTGGAGAAAACTCACCCTGCACTGCCAGCAGCTGCTCATCGGTCGTCCAGCGGGAGTTGAACTTGATGTTAGTCTGCAAAATTACAGGTTTGAATTGAATCCCAGAGTGCTTTGGAACCTGGCACTGCCCCCAGTCGGCTGTCATGCTTAAGGCGGGACTAGAACTTAAAAGTCTCCTCGTAATTGGCCCAGAGTTCCCAGTCTTTCATACCTAGGGCAAGACTAGAACTCACAGTCTCCTGGTGATTGGCCCAAAATTCCCAGTTTTCTTTCATGCCCAAGGCGGGACTAGACCTCACACAGTCTCCTGGTTATTGGACCAGAGTTCCCAGTCTTTCATGCCTAAGGCGGGACTAGAACTCACAGTCTCCTGGTTATTGGCCCAGAGTTTCCAGTCTTTCATGCCTAAGGCGGGACTAGAACTCACACTCTCCTGGTGATTGGCCCAAAGTTCCCAGTTGTCTTTCACACCTAAGGCGGGGCTAGAACTCCTTGCCTCCTAGGGATTGGCCCAAAGTTCCCAGTTGACTTTCATGCCTAAGGCGGGACTAGAACTCACGCCACCTAGTTTCTTGTCTGGAGCCTTAACCAGGCTAGACCAAACAAAATGGCTCCCTTTCTCTTAAATAAATACAAGTAACATTCCACCTGTTAACACTATTTTGGGGAGCACAATCTGTCGTTCTCCCCTCCCAACGCACCTCAGTTGGACGCAGTTTGTGTATCCCTTCGCCTAGCGCCTGCTTCAAGCTGCTGTTGATCTGTTTGATGCTCTGCACCTAGCATGGAAGGGATTGGGAGTCTCAGAACGGAGGTTTCCAGGTTTGGGGTGGGAAGCACCCCACAAGCTTAAAAAGGACGGAGGAGGAGACCCCCCCCCAAAGGAGCCGGAGATAAAACTACTACAACCTAGGAACTAAGAAGAGGTTTCCTGATAGGTCAATTAAGCCGTTGGAACTCCTTGGCTCCAGAATTTGTGAATTCTCGCCAACATTGGAAGTTCTTAAGAAGAGATTGGATAAACGAAATCGTTTAGAAGGTTTCCTGCCTGAGCAGGGGGTTGGACTAGAAGACCTCCAAGGTCTCTTCCAACTCTGTCTATTCTATTCTATTCTATTCTATTCTATTATTATTCTATTCTATTATTTATTCTATTCTATTATTTATTCTATTATTCTATTCTATTATTCTATTCTATTATTCTATTCTATTATATTATTTATTCTATTCTATTATTTATTCTATTA